GCTGAGCACAGGTTCATTGTAATGTCCCCCACGTGGTGAGATTTTGCCACCTTTTCTGGGCGTTCCCTTGGTCCTCCACACCCCCACTCACTTTCCACCACCTGAGCCCTCCAGGAGCCCAAGGAACAACTGCAGGGGTTGGGGGCCAGCCCCACAAAATCCACGACCCGCTCGAGAGCATCTGCGCATTCTGGCTTGTCCCTTGCTGTTTGATTTTCTGCAGCCCCAGCTTCTAATTGTGTCAGTCCACGGAACAAGTGCAATCAGTGAGCCAAAATTAAATATCCCCGACCTCTGCCCTTCCAATCAATCACAAATCACGGGTGGAGAATGCAGATGCCGGCCGGGGGGAGGGGGTGGGGAGGAAGGGCTCCAGGAGGCCAGTTCTGTCCATCAGTTCTGTTGGGCTCTGCACAGAGGTGGGACCCAAGCCCCCAGTTGGAGAGGATATAAACCAGCCCCTTCTGGTGACGTCCTGTCTGTAATGGAAGAGTCTGGAAGGAGGCTTGAAGTGAATGCCGATTCAAGAAAAAGAGAAAGGCTGGTTTCAAGTGATCAGGAAGAAACAGGAAAGAGAGGTCTTTGAAGACACCGGGGATCTGGAACTTGCCTCAGAAGGACTGCCCTGGTCCCTAGGAGCCTCCTGCTGTATCAATGCCTTGGGTTTGGGGAGCACACTCAGATCCCAACTTCTGCCTCCACTACTTATCAGATATGGGATCTTGGAGGAGTGCTTGACCCGGTCCGAGCTTCAGTTTTTCCATCTGGAAAATGGGCACCGGCATCATGGTCCCAGACAGAGTTTCAGTGAGGACAGAGGAATAGATTAACGAAGAGTTAATTAAGCCTATAATCTGGATCCATTCCTTGCCTGGAGGACCAGCGAGATGCCCAGGCCAACACTCACAGAGGGCCTGTGGGCCACCTGCTCGTCCCACGTGGGCCAAGTCGCATTCAAATGAACCCCGTGTTCTTTGGGGAGAGCTAGAGGAAGCCCCCAGTTGCTACTGCCCTGGTGCTGGGCGGCTTCCCTGGCCTGTGAAGACAGATTGGCTGATGGTGAGCAGGGCTTCTTTGGTAAGCCTTGCCTCCTCTTCCTTCCACCGTTCTCTCCCCTCTGCCTCCCTCTTCCCTCTCCTACCCTTCCCCTCCTCCTCCCTCTCCAACTCTGCCCTCCTGGTCTCTCCTCCTTCCTTCCTTCTCCTTCCCCCCTTTCTCCCCACCCTCTCTTCCTCCCCTTAACCCTCGGCGACATCACCTTCTCCCAGCCTCCCAACTGGCGGCAGCAGCTGACTGCTCTTCCACTCTGGCCCCAGCCCAGGCCGTGCTGCCTCCCCAGGCAGTGGGACTTAGCACTCAGCCAGTGGAGGCTGGTGCTGGCCGCTGGGGACAGGCCTCACACTGGCCTTTGTGATCATTGCTCTGTGGCTTCATGTGGCCAGGACCAACGCCAGCCCTTGCTCTTCAAGCCCTGGGCACCCCCCTGCCCTTCTGCCACAGCTAAGCCACACTGAGGGCCTCTGCGCTCCCCAAAGCCACAGCTGCCTGTGTGTGCTCCCTTAAGTGCCACTGCCACTCTGGCCTTCCTTCTCATAGCCACTGCCGGGCCCTGATGCCCGCGGGTCCCTCTTTGCTTCTCTCTGAACTCTGTGAACCTGGGTCCTGTGCTTTCCTGGCCCAAGCCTTGGACCGCATCGCTCTGTGCTCAGGAGCCTGCACTGACCTTCCTGGCCTGGCCCTCCTGTCTGCTAACACAGGCCGGTGTCCATGCACCCACCTGTCCCCAGCCCTCTCTGCCTTTCTCTGACCCGTGCGTTTGCTTGTTCAGTTCCTTTTCCACGGTTCCTGGTCTCCATCATCCATTGCCCTCCTCTGGGGCCCAAGTGCCTCCCCCATCATGAAACCCCTCCAAAGAACACAATCACTGGTCATGCAAGACTCACCTCCTGCAGGCAGGTGCCCTGATGTTTAGCTGCCAGACAACCTGGCCTTACCTGCCTGAGGAGGTGGGCTTGGGCTTGCGAGCGAGCGAGCATTTAAGATGATCACATCTTAAGTGAGGGAGGCAGGGTTTGTTTTCGCGCTTGCCCAGCACCTGCAGGGGACACACTGGAAGGCTTGAAGCCAGGCAGGCTCCTGGGCCCATCCCTGACCTCAGAGCCAGAGTTGGGGTGGAGGGTGGCAGGGGAGGCAGGGCAGGAATCTTAAGATTTATTTTAAGGGGGTCAAATCTTAAGATTTATTTTATTTATTTGAAAGACAGTTACAGAGAGAGGTAGAGACAGAGAGAGAGGTCTTCTATCCACTGGTTCACTCCCCAGATGGCTGCAATGGCCGGAGCTGCACCGATCCGAAACCAGAAGCCAGGAGCTTCTTCCGGGTCTCCCATGTGGGTGCAGGGGTCCAAGGACTTGGGCGATCTTGCACTGCTTTCCCAGGCCATAGTAGAGAGCTGGATTGGAAGTGGAGCAGCTGGGACTAGAACAGGTGCCCATATGGGATGCCAGCGCTTCAGGCCAGGGCTTTAACCTGCTGCGCCACCATGCCGGTGCCAGGAATCTGTGTTTTGATGAATCCTCCTACCCTTCACCTGTGTGGAACACTCTCTGGCTGGTCCCCAGGGGGCTCCCCACATGCTCTCTGGAGCGACAGAGGAGAGAGTCATTTGAGGCTGGGAGAGCAAGGGCAGCCTGGGGCTCCGGGCCTTCCGTGGGAGCTCCAGGGAGGTGGAGATCAAGGGCCCACTCGAGTTCCCATGGGACAGGGCTGTACCACCTCAGGATGCTCCCCTGCCCCTCAGCATCCCCTGCTGATGACACCAAGAGGACCATGCCCTGCCAGCACCTCCCCTGCTCCCCAGCTGGCATGAGGCCCCACCCTGGCATGGTTTTCAGGGAGCACGGCTTGCCAGGAGGCCCGTGGCAGGGCTGCTGGCCAGAGACCTGGAGCCACGGCTGGTCCTGGCCACATGGTTGGATTGCAGCCCGTCTACCTATCCCCTAATCCCACGTAGGACACCCAGGATCAATGAATAGGTCCCGTCTTTCAAATTATGCCAAACCGTGCCAACACCACCTGCCACCCCTTTGGGGATGAACCTGCTGTTCCAAGGAAATGTTAGCCTGAAGGTGGGATTCCAGGGGTGAGGAACTTCTGGACCCAGGACCTCTTCAAAGAGCCACGGTGAGTCCCTCCCCCCTCCCTTCCTTGTCTTTCACGTGCCCCCCTGCATCTGTGCACCCACCAGGAAAGCGTGACTCTTCTGCTCCAAGCAGGACACCTGCAGGCCTTGGAGGAGGTGACCTGTGCCTCCTGAGCACCTGCTCACCTGGTCCCTGGCCTGTGGAGTCCCTGGCACTGGGACTGGGGCTAACAAGAACCGAGCCCTTACCATAGACCATAGACCGGGTCCCCTCTTGAACCCTTTGTGTGTGATAAAGGCCTGAGCCTCACAGTGACCCCTGGAGGGAAGTGCTGTGTTTGTCTGCCCTGCGTTGCTGGAGACAGGAGACAGGTTTGTCATATGGGCAGGTAGAGAGGGACAAGGGCCCTGGGGAAGGGTGACGCCATCCAAGAGCAGTCAGTCACCAGCTGCGTTTGCATCCACCCAAGGCCCTGACCACCCTGGACCCGCTGAGCACCGGCTCAGCTTCCCCGAGTTACTCTGGCTGCACCGGAGCGGCTCCCAACCACCGCTTCAGTTTCATCTCTGAGCGTTTCTGTGCAAGAAAAGGGATTCTGGCTGCTGCTCCCTGAGTGGGGCTCCTAGTTTCTACCTTATTAGCATACATCGTAAACCATCAGGGAAAGCTCCCCGTTTAAAAACAAATAAAAACCTCTACCCCCTCTAGGACCCCTCACCATGCTGCTGAGTGCTTTCTCTTTTGCTTTCCTTTCTATTTGATAAACTTCTGTCACATTGCTCAGGCTTCCTCGTCTGTGTATCTAATTCTTCCCGGTCACAGGATAAAGAACTTGGTGGAGAGGAAGAGCCATAGCATTTCTAAACATTCAGCAGGAAGAGAAACTACAACAACAATACAGAGGATGGAGGGGGTCAAATGTTGTTGTGCCCGTGGCAAAACCAGTGTGGAAGTGGAATGGCAAGACTTGAACTCAGGTCACCAGGATGCAGTACTCTGTGTGGGGCAATAAGGTGCTTCCAGGCTGAACAGACAAGTGCCTGGTGGCCCCTTCTGTAGTGCACAGCTGAAGGTTAGAGGGGTGACGGGGGCCGGGGGCTGGGGGCACTGCAGACCAGGCCTGCTGGGGCTTTGAGGGTAGCTCTTTTCAGGCTGTTTAAGGTACAGTGCAAACTGGGAGGCATGTATATCCTAAAACAGAATTTTAGAGAAATAATGTGCTATCCAAAGGAATTATTCTCAAACAGGCAATATTCAAGAATCAGTATGGGATGCTGTTTTTCCCAGTGAATGCCTCTATGCAAAATAGACTCCCCCTCTTCCCAAATAAACTAACAAAAATAAAGAAAAAATGGGATGTAGTGAAGCAAATGAGGGGTTGGCATTGTGGCGTAGTGGGTTAACTTGCCACCTGCAGTGCCATCATCCCATATAGGCGCTGATTCAAGTCGCAGCTGCTCCACTTCTGATCCAGCTCCCTGCAAATGTACCTAGGAAAGCAGCAGAAGATGGCCCAAGCACATGGGCCCCTGCCACCCACATGGGAGAATGGATGGAGTTCCAGGCTGCTGGTTTCAGCTTGGCCTGACCCCAGCTGTTGTGGCCATTTGGGGAGTGAACCAGCAGATGGAAGATCTTTCTCTCCTTTCTTCCTCCCTCACTTCCTCCCTCTCTCTCTCCCTCTTTCTGTAACTTTGACTTTCAAATAAGTAAATAAACCTGAAAATACAAACAAATGAACAAACAACAATAGAGCCAGACACACACACACACACACACACACAGAGTCACCTCTTCTCTCTGTGAGTAAAACTGAAGGCATTGGATATAAAGGGTTTCTGAGAATAGGAGCGACTTTTGTCCTTTTGTTTAATGCCAGGTTTCAGGGGAGGGAGACTCTGTCTGGCATGGTGACACTCTCACCCATGGGACGCCTTAGTAGGGCTCTGGTGGGGAGAACTCTGGGAACAGGGCACTTAGGGGGCTCAGCAGGCCTCCCGCGTGGGCTTCACTTCTTTTTGAACACTTGGTGGCACACCTGGTCCCCGCAGGTCAGCTCCTGCAACGGCAGAAAGTGGGTTGAGTGGCTATGAAGCCAGGCCTTCCTTCTGCCCAGCCCCCTGCCCTGTTGGTGTCTGGGGGTAGCAGCCGGAGGTTGGGGGTGCGATAAACAGGGCACTTAGTTGCGGCGGGCGGAGCAGTTCCCACACTCAATCTGCCGGCTTGCCCGGCTGCTAGCAGTCATTTGAATTGGACACGTAAACTGAGCTTGAACAACTATAAAAATGAAAAATGCAAAGAAACGAGCCTCTTGGGCGGGATTTCTTCTGCTCCCGTGATTAAAGCCACGCCGTGTAATTTACGAGAGGCAGCGGTGCCACGAGGAAGGGAAAGATGTGGAGGAGCGCGTGGAAAGGAAGGGCCCGGGGAAAGCAGGCAGGGCGCTGCCCCTGCACCCTCTGGTCTGTGGCGATCACCACCTAGGCTGGTGGCACCCAGGCAGCGACAGGCACACGCCGCACCAGGGCTCCCCACGAGTGTGGTGAAGCTCCCCCCACCCCAGCACTGCAGCTGACAGTGCACCTGCTGTCGTAGCCATGCGTGTGTGCTGTGGGATGCTGTCTTTCAATGAACAAAATCCACCATCGGCACCAGAGCAGGCAGGGGGCGCTGCCAGTGCTGAGCACCTCCCGTCTATCATCGGCTGACGTTGCCTTCAAAACACAGACGTCAGGTCACAGGTCACGCCAGACTGGCCTGAACGCTGACTTTGGAGCCAGGGACCTACCTGACCCCAAAGGGGAATGAATGAATGAATGAATGAGTGAATGAAGAGCCAGCCATTGAACAAGCGAGCGACCACACAAGTGGAAGGCTTTTCACTGTTTGAAAGCTGGGCCCTTGAAGCTTGAAGAGTGAAAAATGGAGCTGTGGACATCGAGACCGTTTAGTGAAGGACATCAGTTCTTGTTGCGACGTCCTCTTCTAACGCCCAATTAACCTCAAGTATTCTGGGGTCAGGAGGACAGCACTCATGATAGAAGGTCAATGCCAGAGCCAGTTCCTAGGCCCTGCTGAACCGGTCTCCTTTCCCCTCCAGGCTCCGGAAACAGGGAGAAGGCACTGGCTCGCCCCCTCCCTCACCCCTACCCTCCCCAGGGGCATCTTAATTCTGTGTCCTCATTTCTCCCTAGCCGATCTTTCACAGGCTCCCTGCCTTTCTCCTTGGATCGCTCAGCCTCCTAACTCAGCTTTTTGAACTTTTCTTTTTAATTGCAGCTGCTTACAGTAACAGCCATATAGATTTCCTCCTGGAGTCCCCGGGGCCAGAGAGGGAACGGCTTCCTGACTGATCATAGGCACGTATCTGGCTGGAGTGCACAACCATTTTTCTTGCCGAAGCACCAGGGCCAGGCAGGGGATGAGGGTGGTCTGTGTGGCGCAGTGGGAGAGGGCTGGCGGCCGCAGGACTCACCAGATGCAGCTTGCCGTCCTCGATCCACTGCCTCCAGCCACGGTTCTCCTTCTCCCCCTTCTGCACGCACACCAGGCAGTCGCCTTCCCAGGTGACCAGCGTCTGCAATGACAGATTCGCAGGCAAATCAAACCTGTGATCCCGAGAGACTGAGCAAAGCTGACCCCCTGGCTGTCCTCGGCTGCCTCCTGCCCCCAGGGCAGAGCCCTCAGCCTCAGCCAAGCCACATCTTTCCCATCTCATCTCCACCTACACCGTCCAGGCTGCCCTGGGGCTTGCTCTGTTCTCCGGGAAGAAATACTGAGCTTCCCTTTTACCAGGCAGGGAGAGGAAAGGCATACACTGGATTCCGAAAGGACGTAAGACGCCTGCAGAGGGGAAAAATTCCTCCAAGTCAGCAGATAAATAACGAACTAGAAAAGTGATTGTAATGTATCAGAGCTGATTTCCTTAACAGGGTCCTAGAAACCAGGGAGCAAAAAGATCATTAAGTTAACAGTTCATGTCAACAAAAGAACTAACCGCTTACAAGAGAAAAAAAGAATCCAATGGATGGCTTTTAAGTGTCAGAAAAGGCGTCTGACCTCACTCTTGTAGAATAAGAGAAATGCAGACGAGGCTGCTTTTCAGATACAATTTATCACGAGGTCAAAGGTCAACATTTGGTGATGCACTGAGTGTGGGAGGGTGGGGGTAGAGAAACAGGCATCCCCTATAAGGAGAGCGGGAATATAAATCAGAATGCCTTTGGGGAGGGCTGTGCTCTCTCACCTTGCCAAACGTAGAGCTGCATTTAGTCTTTGAGTAGACATTCTCCTTATGGGAGTTTTCCCCACGCGTATTGCATCGTACTGTCCTGTCGGCTGGTAGCAGAGGCAGGGCAGTCCCCTAACTCTGCAGGGTGCTGCCCACGTGGCTCCCGTGCCAGCCTCCTCACCCAGCACCAGGAGAGTGGACCCTCCCCAGGGGCTGGCAGCTGTGTCCCAAGGGTTATTGGCACAGGGGCAGTAGCAGAATGCACCCAGCAGGTAGGAGAAGCCTCCATCCGGGCTGTGGAACCCAGGAAGTGCTCAACCCCTCTGCACATAGTCAGAGCACACACAACCCCCCAGGCGCCTCCCCTTTCTGTTTCCCACTTTCTTCCCTCCTCACACTCACCTTGGGATCATCTGTAGCACCCCCACCCACCTTGGTGCCCCAACTAGGTATGCACACACACCTCCTGAGAAAATCATGCCATTCCCGCCCAGGGAGTGCCTCTGTGTCAGCGAGGCCCAGACGCTGGCTGCATATTTTCCAAGTGTGTGCAAACCACATTACACCTCTATAAACAAGAGAGGGCCGAGGACCAGCCATTTATTTCCCTCTCTGTCTTGCAATCCCAAGCGGTGATAAACCAACCTGTGTTTTTATTTTTTCTCTGTCCTTGCACATTCAAGTCATCTGTTTTCTACAGATTGTTAAATTTACCTATTTCTAAAGTAATCTTTGACCTTGGCCATATTGTATATTTCATGTACAATTTCTTTCCTCCTCATTTTCCTCCTGAATGCATCCTAGCATTGTTATGGCAAGGCACTGGAAGCGCCATCAGTTCTGTCAGTGGGTGCCAGGTTAAACACGATGTGGTTCATCTCAGCTAGGCAGTCAATGAAAGAACAGGGCCAGAGTGCACTATGCAACTTAAAAAAGCAAGGAACAGGGGCTGGTGTTGTGGTGCAGTGGGCTAAGCCTACACCTGCTGCGCCAGCATCCCATTTGGGCACCGGCTGCTCCTCTTCCTATCCAGCTCCCTGACGGTGGCCTGGGGAAGCCATAGAAGATGGCTCAAGTGCTTGGGCCCCTGCACCCATGTGGGAGACCTGGAAGAGACTCCTGGCTCCTGGCTTCAGACGGGCTCAGATCCAGCCATTGTGGCCATTTGGGGAGTGAACCAGTGATTGGAAGACCCCCCCCCCCCATCTATAACTCTACCTGTAAAAAAACAAATCTTTAAAACAAAACAGAGCAGAGCCACATGCATGAACTGAGTGGGTCGGGGGCAGAGTGCAGACACACATGTGTTTGTACCTGCTTTCCTCAAGGAGGTGAAAGAAACCCCAACAGTGATTGTTCCAGAGCAGGGAGATGCATGGCTGAGGGCCGGGGTGGGATGGAGATTTCACTTTTTACTGTTTACATTTTTTTAAAGATTTATTTATTTGAAAGTCAGAGTTGTAGAGAGGGAGAAACAGAGAGAGAGAGAAAGAGATCCTCCATCCACTGGTTCACTCCCCAGACGACCACAACAGCCAGAGCTGGACCATGCCAAAGCCAGGAGCCAAGAGCTTCATCCGGGTCTCCCACATGTATGGCAGGGGCCCAGACACTTGGGCCATCTTCCACCACTTTTCCCAGGCCATTAGCAGGGAGCTGGATTGGAAGTGGAACAGTCAGGACTTGAACTGGCACCCATATGGGATGCTGGCGCTGCAGATGACGGTTTTACCTGCTACATCATAACACTGGCCCACTGTTTAAATTTTTTAAAAACTATAGGCACATATTAATATTCCCAAAACTGATTTAAAATTCTACATGCTGGGGCCAGCGTTGTGGTACAGCAGGTTAAAGCCCTGGCCTGAAGCACTGGCACCCCATATGGGGGCCGGTTTGTCTTCCTATCCAGCTCTCTGCTATGACCTGGGAAAGCAGTAGAAGATGGCCCAAGTCCTTAGGCCCCTGCACCTATGTGGTAAACCTGGAAGAAGCACCTGGCTCCTGGCTTCGGATTAGCATAGCTCCAGCCACTGCGGCCATCTGGGGAGTGAACCATCGGATGGAAGACCTCTCTCTCTCTCTCTCTCTCTCTGCCTCTCCTCTCTCTGTGTAACTCTGTCTTTCAAATAAGTAAAATAAATCTTTAAAAGAAAAAAATCTACATGCTTTTGTCTCCTCCTCCTCCGGGGCTCTCCTGAGCCTCATATCTTTGAAGGTCTTGGAGAAGCTCCATTCACAGGGAGCTCCCTTCACTCTCCTGGGAGAGGGATGCCTGGAACAGTAATCTGCTGCTGCCTGGTCTTGGCCTTGGACTCTGAGTTCCCTCCCAAACAGACAAGGACGGACTCAGGGCTTCTATGCAGGCAAGAACTGTGACTTCTATACTCCCCCCTCCCATATTGCATTGCACATGATGGTCACCCGTGCATGTTGATGGAATTGGCGCTATCCCCCAAGTAGGCCAGCTGTGTGCTCTGTGAAAGACGGGGCCGCCTCTGCAGGTCATTTCTGCAACACCAAACTCAGCACAGGGGTCTGTGCTGCATCTACAGTTGAGTCATTTTGTTGAAACAGAACCTTGATACAAACCCACCTCCCTCCTTGCCTTGCAGTCTACGGTCCCCTCACAGGGCCCAGATGTCCATCACTATGGCTGTGGACCAACTTCTTGTCTGCCTTCCCTGTGACACTCACTATCCCAGAGGGCAGGAAAGAGGGTCTGATTCATCATTTTATCTCTAGCTCCTGACGCCGGCCTGGCACAGAGTAGGGGATTAGTAAATTTTGTGGGAGGAAGGAAGGAGAAAAATGTTAGCGCACAGGGAGCTGCCCTAATATTTTATTTTAATAACTCATTTCGGACAGCAAGATTAAAAGTTATTCTGACCCTAAAGTAAATTGGTTACCAATGAATCATGGCAATACTTAAAATATTATAGCCTTACTCCTACATAAAACAGACAAGGAGAAGCAGAGAGAAGAGAATGGTTAAATGGACTAAAATTCCATAATTCAATTTGCTCTAAGCTGGTGCCCTTCATCCCTGTATCGGAGGAGAGTTGAAGACAGACTCCATCGCCTTAAGAGACCCCCAGGTGGAGGAAATGGGTAGCAGCGAGGCAGGCCTTGCTCCCCGGTGCAGGGAGGAGGAGGAGAGTGCTCCAGGGGTGGGCAGCTCTGTACCGGACTTAAAGGAGGAGGTTGGGCCCCACGGCGATCTCCCAGTTCACAACGGCCAAGTCAACGTTCGTAAAAGTAGCCCTTATGGCCGATTAGAGGCAGGGGCTGCTCCGATGTACTACGCGCAGAAGTTGATGATTACGGTGTGGCTACGTAAGAGGATCTCCTGATCCTTAGGGAATCCGTGCTGCATTATATAGGGCTGATGCGTCAGACTGGTCAGGGGACAGATCTGTGTATTTTACAGAGGGGGGGTGGGGATACAGAGGGAGGGAGGGAGGGAGAGTGTTTGTACAAATGATGAGGCAAAGATGGGGCAAAATGTGAACAGGTGGCATGAGGCTAGCTGCACAAAGAGGCTTTGGTTACCTCGTGTCACTTTTCTATGGATTTGAATCACTCCCGATAAGTATTCTTAAAAAGGCAAATCACGGCTCTTTAATTAAGAACACTGAAGGACACTGTGAACATACTCATCCCCTCCCCAGCGCACCTGCCCTCAGGGAGAGCTCTTCCAACCACCCAAAGGGCCTGCCCCTGGAGGAGGCAGTGCCCCTGCCCTGCCACCCCCCTGCTGGATTCCCCTGGCTCCCCCTGGCTCCAGGATAGCTTTGAGGCTCTAACTGCCCCATCTACACCTGCTCCTCCTGACTGCTCCAATGCCATTATTTATTTTTTTATTGAGATACAATTTATGAACCAGAAAATTCCCCCCTTTAAAGTGTACAATTCAGTAGTTTTTATTCACAAGGTGTGTGACGACTGGTAGCCCCAGCGAAAGCCAGAATGTTTTTATTACCCCCGAATGGAATCACCACACCCCTTAGGAGTCACCACTCATTCCCTCCGCCCCCTACACCCTGGTAAGCACTCTCTGTCTTTACGATTTTGCCTGGTCAAGAAATCCCAGGAAAATCTTCCCCACAGCATCTCTTGGCTTTGCCACAATACGTGGCCTTTTGTGTGTGGCTCCTCTCCCTTGGCCTGCGTTCCATGTTCATGCACAAGGTCACGTGTGTCAGCACTTCATTCCTCCTACAGGTGTGTGAGAGTCTGTGTGACATTGCATGGAATGTATGCTGCGTTTTATTTTAGGGCAGCTCGTGTAGTTTTGAAAGGGGCTTTAAACTCTGACAGCTACAAGTAAAGAAGGGCCATCTTTGCCTCCCAGATGAAGCCCAGCCGCTCCACGTCTGGTCCAGCTCTTTTCTCATGCTCCTGGGAAATCAGCACAAGACGGCCCAAGGACTAGGGCTGCTGTCACCCTCATGGGAGACACACATCACATGGGCTTCTGGCTTTGGCCCAGCCCAGCCCTGGCCGTTGTGGCCATCTGGGGAGTGAACCAGCAGATGGAAGATCTCTGTCTCTGTCTCTCCCTCTCTGTATGTAACTCTGCCTTTCAAACAACTAAATAAGCCTTTAAAGAGAAAATAAAAAGAAACAAATAAGGGTAGGAAGTTCGGAATATAAGAAGGCACTTCAGAAAGTGTATAGAAAACAGGAATAGGAGATGTTTATTTTGATACATAAAGCATATCTACACAGTCTTCCAAAACTATGTGAAAAGTGTGTTGCATGAAAAAATGTTGCATGGATTTCAAAAGCGTTTTGCACTAAAAGAAAACTCTCTTTAAATTCTATTTTTCCACCAACTTTTTGAAGCGCCCTCGCAGATGGCCGCAGGGAGGAAGAAGAGGGGTCCTAGACCCTTCAGAGGCGTGGAGCCCGTGATTCACACGGTTTCGTTGCCCCCAGGCTGCAACAGAAGGGAACACCGTGGACCTTTAGGCCTGGGCGGAAAACCACGTGCCTCCCCTCCAGCTTGCTGGGTGGGGCTGTTCAGAGGGCTCATGAGTGGAGAACAAGAAGGAGCCAAATGTTTCTCTCTCTCTCTCTCTCACACACACATAGCTGTTTGTGCACCAGGCGTGCCATCAAGTATGGGCAGTAGAGACGAACAGGGGAGAGCTTCTGGCTCGGTGTTTAAGACTCCTCTTGAGATGCCCCCACCCATATTGCAGAGCCTGGTTGGAGTCCCAGGCCCACCTCCAACCCAGCTTCCTGCTCCTGTGCATCCTGGGAGGCATCAGGTGATGGCTCAGGTACTTGGATCCCATCATGCACATCGGACAGCCTGAGTTCCCGGCTCCTTGATGGCCCAGCCCAGGCTGTGGTGGACATTAAAGGAATGAACAAGCAGACGAGACATCTGTCTCTCTCAGTCTTTCTACTTTTCAAGTGAAGTGAAAATAAGTGAAATGCAAACAAAAATAAAATAGTAATGGAAATGGACTCCACTCCTTGGAGTTCCCGTTCCAGCCACAGGCTCTGGGGCAGTTACAGGAAGCAGGCGGTCCTGGGGGGCACCTGCCCTGAGCTGTGATTCTCATGGGAACGACCCTTCACTGGAGCCTGGGCAGCACCATGCCCAAGGTGTCTCTTGCACGCCTGTGCATGTATGTGCATGCTCAGGTGTGTGCGTTTTCAGTAGCTCCCGCTTCTGCTACAGATCAGAAAGAGAGAAGCCGTGGGAAAGGGGACTGGTTCCCTCCACAGGGCTGGCTGCGGGGCCTGGTGGGAGGAAGGAGAGGCGGAGCTGGAGAGGCAGGTGTCGGCAGGCAGAACCCTGTAAGGCTTTGAGGGGCTGGGAGGACACAGTCTGTGTCAGGGAGAGTTAGCTTTCCACCACCAAAGGGGATAGAGGCACAGGTCAGCAAGGACGGGCCTGCTCTCCAGAGTCCCACACCCACAGGGAAAGGTGAGGGCAAATGAATCATTTTGAACTGATTAGGCTGGAACAGCAGAGTGATGCAAAAATTCAGAGACAAATTTTCCCATCAGTTCTGGTGTCTGATGAATGGGCCTTTTAGCCACACAGTTCAGGAAAAGGCCCCCGATCCATCATCCCCTCCGAGTGGGGGCTTCCGTAAGTGGACCTTGCAGGGCCCGGAAGCTCGCGCTCTTGGGCGAAGATGGCTCTGATGCAAGATCTCTAAAGTGCTTTTCATTTCCCCACTTTCGCTTCGCAAGGAGCACTAAATATAATTCAACCTTGACTTGATGGCTGAGATTATCAATGCTGCAGGACAACTTGATTGAGAAATAAAGTGCCTGCTGCTTGTGTGGCTTAGAGTCATCTACAAAGACTGATGACAGCTCTCCGCCCCCTCCTCCACCCCGGCTCCCAGGAGAGGAGCCCGAGCTCCTGTCCCGTGCTTTGGGGTGGAGTGGAGACTTTGACAGAGCCCCTTGGGGGCAGGCATCGTGGCACAGTGAAGCCCATAGTCCATACTGCGCTCCAGCATGGACCCAGATTCCTGCTCACGTGCGGTGTAAGAGGCAATGGTGATGGTGCAAGAACTTGGGCCCCTGCCACTCCTGTGGGGGACTCAGGTGGAGTTCCTACTCTTGGCTTCAGCCTGCACCAGCCCCAGCTGTTGTGGGCATTTGGGAAGTGATCAGTGGATGAAAGAGCTCTCTTTCTGCCTTTCAAATAGATTTAAAAAAAAAAAACTAATAAAAAACAGTTGAGGGGCTGGCGCTGTGGCATAGAAAGTTTAAGCCTATGCCTGAGGTGCTGGCATCCCATTTGGGTTCTGGTTTGAGTTCTGGCTGCTCCACTTTCAATCCAGCTCTCTGCTGTGGCCTGGGAAAAGCAGTAGAAGATGGCCCAAGTGCTTGGGCCCCTGCACCCATGTGGGAGACATGGAAGAAGCACCTGGCTCCTGGCTTCAGATCAGCCCAGCTCCAGCCATTGCAGTGATCTGGGGAGTGAACCAGCAGATGGAAGACCTCTCTCTCTCTCTGCTTCTCTTCCTCTCTGTGTAACTCTTTCAAGTAAATAAATAAATCTTAAAAAAAAAAAAAAAAAACTTGGAATTGCTTATTTCTGTCACTTTCCACTGACTATTATCACTGTCAGCTGACCACACACGTGTCACTGAAACCACAGCGGGCAGGAGGAGACCATTACAGTTCAAGCCCCTGGAAGCCTGGCCCCGGGAGCTCCGAGGACTTCCTGGACTGCATTCTGTGGGCCGGGAGAAGCGGAGACTTCCCCGTATTACCAGGACTGGATAAACCCTGACTGGTTCGCCCACTGAGTTTTTGGTTTAATTTGTACCATCCTTTCCTAAAACATTAAAACATCAGCTGGGATCATCTAAAATTGAGATGTTTCATGAAAATCATCTGGGTTTCCAATGCCTCTTGGGAAGAAACATCTGGCACCACGAGGCCTCATTCCTCCACAGCAGGGGCTGTCTGGGGCTGTCTGGGGCTGAGCTGGGCCACCCGTTTGCAGAAGGTGGTCACAGTCACCGTTCCCGCCTGGAACAGGCCCTCTGCCTGGCCAGCCCTTGTCAGTATACTCGCTGGCCCTTGACTCCGGTCCTGAAGAAGCTGAGACTCTTTCATCTCTCCGTGGCTACCTCTTCCTTTTTTTAGAAATATTTTATAAGGATTTATTTATTTTATTTCAAAGATTTACAGAGAGAGAGAGAGAGAGAGAGAGAGAAGAGAAGAGAAGAGAAGAGAAGAGAAGAGAAGAGAAGAGAAGAGAAGAGAAGAGAAGAGAAAAGAGAGATCTTTCATCTGCTGGTTCATTCCCTAAATGGCTGCAACAGCCAGGGCTGGGCCAGGCTGAAGCCAGGAGCCAGGAGCTCCATCTGTGTCTCCCATTTGCATGCAAGAGCCCAAGCACTTGGGGCATCTTCCACTGTTTTCCCAGGCCATAGCAGAGAGCTGGATTGGAAGTGGAGCAGCTGGGACTCAAACCAGTGCCCATGTGGGATGCCAGCACTGCAGGTGGGTGGCTTTACCTGCTACACCACAGCGCCAGCCCCAGGGTTATGCACTTTTGACAGGAATACCCCAATGCTGTGATGGCAGCCAGGACCCAAACCAGAGCCCATGTGGGATGCTGGCACCGCAGATGGTGGCTTAACCTGCTGTGCCACAGCACCGGCTCCCCTTCTTTCTTCTAAACTTTCAGTAACTGCCCATCACTCACATCACTAAATTCTCTGCGGTCCCCTCTCCCTGACCCCTCCCAGATCCCTTCTGCCATTTCTCCATCGTGAAGCCTAAGAGCCGACCCCCGCACAGAGCGCAGGAGTGGAAATCGCCAGCCGAGCCAGTACCTTCACGTGCCGGTTGTCCAGGCCCTTCGTGTACTCATCGAACTCCACTCCAACGGTGAAATCCAAGTTGTAGTTCCGGAATGTGCTGTTGGTTTTCGTCTTGAAGCTGTCGCCGGCCTGATCGATGATTTTTGTCTGAGTCAGATGCACGGCGATCTTGCGGGTGGCAAAATCGATATCTGTTGGCAAAGGGAGTCGTGGAGGTTATGATGTGCCCAGCCAGGCTCATTCGTTTCTTTAACAAGGCCACACACTCAGGAGGAGAGACTCGGATTGGGGACAGGCCGTGTTGCTACGCTTAAGTGGGAAACAAGTGTTGTCTTACACATGGCCAATTTGGGCGTCTCAGTTGACTGCTGGAAAACCGAGGAATCTCTTGGCATTGCCAAGGAAATTCTGATGGGAGGGAGACAGAGCAGGCAGGGCTCACCCCTGAGTTGCAGCTCATACACGCACACACACACACACGTGACACACACGTACACATGTGTGACACATACATGCACACCTGCACATGTGCACACACACACTCACGCCCTCTTCCACAGTAGCTCCCTTCCGAAATACTGGGCTTCCTCCTAAGAGTTTGCTGAATGAAATGATTCCATGGCTTAAAGTATTTTGAAAGCCATGAATTCCAATCATGGGTAAAGATGAAACTTTTATTAATTTCCACTGTGTGGAGAGATAGACACCTTTATTATATATATTTATGTATATACATATATATGCATATATTTTCATTTTAGAGGCAGAGAGAAAGAGAGAATGACATATTCAAAGCTTCCACCTGCTAGTTTACTCCTTAAATACCCACAATAGCCAGGGCTCAGCTGGACTGAGGCTGGGAGCCAGTTTGTAAAGCAGACTGCAGGCGTCCTCAGCTAGGTGTTCTGTCTCCATCGCAGGCCCCTAGCATAGCTCTACGCCTACTCTAGACCATGTTGTGTGCTCGCTCAGAGATTGTCTTTTTTTAAAAATAACAATAAGATTTATAATTGTTTATAAATCTTAATGAAAAATTTCTAGAAAATCGAAGAACAGAGACAAGTACAAGAAATGCCACATATACACCAGCCAAATTCATCAACTGCCAAGATTTTGCCACATTTACCCCATCTAAGGCCTTGTTTCTTCTTTTAGAACAAACTTCATGCATTTCTTAGCAACTGTTAAACGGGAGTGCTTGGTTTCCTAAGCTTTGCAGGTAACAAGAAGCAGCTAAGTGCTGAGTCACCTACTTGCACATAAAACTTCACCCCAGCACAAGCCATCGTCCTGTGGAGCACAACTAGAAACAGAATAATTCTGAGACTACTAATTCTTTTTTTTTTTTTTTTCAGAAACTCCACCTGGATTTGCAAAAACACTGAGATGGATTCTGTTACAACCCAAGAGTAACAATGACCTCAAGAGAAGGAACAGTTCAAATTCACCAAGTGCTGCTTCTCTGAGAAGCCCTGCCCCGGCCATGGGAGGTGAGTGACAGGAGCTCATGTTTTGCCGTGGCTGGCGCAGGGTAAATATTGCATTGGGCCCACAAGAGGCCAGGAGTTGCCAGCAGCTCAGGGAGCTGCTCCTGTCCCCCCTGTCATGATGGTCCACATCACTTCTTTCATCCTCTCTCTCTGATATCTTTGATTGCCTTTCAAATCCCTGCTTGGTCACTCCTCCACCTTCTGCCACAGGACCAAGGAGAGCCCAAACTGGCTGCTTGAACTTCACTTTGCACCAGCAGTTGGACCACAGCTAAGAATCCCCAACAGAATCACATTGCACAGGGAAGGCCCTGGCCAGGCCGCTGAACCCCGTGTTGTCTAAAGTCCCATCTGAGCCTACAGGAATGGTTTTCAGTAGCATGAGCTAGCCCAGGAGGTAAAAGGATGCCATTCTTGCACCCTAAGGTTCAAGTTGGCATGGACTGGAGCACAAACACCAGTGCCTTCCTCACCTATCATTTCCAGCTATTTGTTGGGTGCCTGCCACATCTGATACATTTTAGGATCACCTGGGACTATGACAACACCGCAGCTTACTGGGTCCTACAGCAGGCCCCAAATCTCTAGGTGGCAGAGCCCAGTGACTTTAGAACTTTTTGGGGGAGGCTACTAGGAGAAAGATTTCCATGGCTTAAAAAATTTGAAATCCACCGTTCAAGCACCTGCAATACTAGGGTCCAGGATTTGGGTGGATGTGTCGACAGATTAAGTTGGGAAGAGAAAGCAGTGGTTTTTGAGTTTGGGTGACGATGGCGAGAGCCAGGGAAGGGAAAGAGCGAGCTAATTTTATGGGGGGACCTCATGAATTAAGTTTAGGTGAGGTGAACCTGCAGGCCCCACTGTGTGGACTCAGTACCTGGTGTGCTGAGGAAGCCACTCCTAGGAACCAACCAGGACTGGTGCCCCCTGGTGGGACCTCCTTTGGGAATGCTCACTCCCATCCTTCTTAAAACCCATGAGAAAAGTCTTATCTCCATTTTACCAGTGAGGAAAAGAGGCAGCAGAGGTAGAATTTGAACTCAGGATGGTCTGCCTCTCTGCAGGGCCCTGCTGCACTGGGATAGTCCAGTTAGACCACCCTCACTGTTCTCCTTTCATGGGTGCCCAAGAGACCAATAGCTTCTGCCTGTTGTTAAATGTCCCCTGGTGGGGGAGGGGCATTGTGATGTAGCAGGCTAAGCCTCTGCCTATGACGCCACCATCCCATATGGGTGCTGGTTCAAGACTCAGTTGTGGCCGGGGCTGTGGCACAGTTAAGACCCAAGCCTGCAGTGCCGGCATCCCATATGAGCGCCAGTTTGAGTCCCAGCTGCTCCTCGTCCAATCCAGCTCTCTGCTAATTGCCTGGGAAAGCAGTAGAAGATGGGCCAACTGCTTGAACCCCTGCACCCACGTGGAACACCTGGAGGAGGCTCCTGGCTCCTGGCTTTGGATCGGCTCAGCTCTGTCCGTTGTGGTCATTTGGGGAGTGAACCAGTGGATGGAAGCCTTCTCTCTCTCTCTGGCTCTACCTCTCTCTGTAACTCTGTCTTTCAAATAAATAAAATAATTCTTTAAAAAAAGAAAAAAAAAGATCCAGTTGTTCTACTTCCCACCCAACTCCTTGCTAACGCACCTGGGAAAGCAGTGGGAGATGGCCCAAATCCTTGGGCCCCTGCACCCATGTGGGAGAGGTGGAAAGAAGTTCCTGCCTTCTTTCTGGCCCAGCCTCAGCTGTTGTGTGGCCACTGGGGAGTGGTTCACCTGGGGAGAGGGAAGACCTCTCTCTCTCTAACATTCAAATAAATAAAAAATAATTCTTAAAAAAAAGTCCCCTGGGAATGGAGTAGGTCTCAAAGTGAGCCCTGGCCCAGCCACAGTGGCAGTACCTGGAAACCTGTGAGAAATGCAGTCTGGGGCCCACTCAAGACATACTGGGTAGAAGTTCTGCAGGATGGGCTTTGGTTTTTTTATTTTTATTTTTTTGAGATTTTTATTTATTTTATTTGAGAGGTAGAGCTACAGAGAGTGAGAGGGAGAGACGGAGAAAGGTCTTCCATCTGCTGGTTCACTCCCCAGATGGCCGCAACGACCAGAGCTGTGCTGGTCTGAAGCCAGGAGCCAGGTACTTCCTCCTGGTTTCCCATGTGGGTGCAGGGGCCCAAGGACTTGGGTCATCTTCTACTGCTTTCCCAGACCATAGCAGAGAGGTGGATTGGAGGAGAAGAAGCCGGGACTAGAACCAGCGCCCATATGGGATGCCAACGTCAAAAGTGGAGGATAAACCTACTGAGCCATGGTGCTGGCCCCACCTTACTTGTTCTTACCAGTCTCCCAAGTAGTTCTGTGCATGCTGAAGTTCCAAACTAAGGGCATATGTGTAGGGGTGAGGGGCAGCTCTGGGTACAAATCCTGTTCCTGAGCTCGAGGCTATGCGACTCATCTCCCCTCTCTGAGAACCCCCTCCCCAATTCCCTCACCCCCAGTTTTCTCAAGGAAAATGAAGAGCTGAGAGTCCACCTCAGAGGTCCATTTGGCGAGGGTCCAGCACAATGACGACGGCCAAAGGCTCCACACAGCACCAAGAAGCTATGTGGTCACTCAGCGTGCACCAGCCCCCACCCTGGGCTCTGGCTGCTGGGATCACATGGGGACCAGGGCAACATTCAGTCCCCAGTGACATTTCCGGCTCCTATGTATCCATTGCCACCGCTGCCGGCCCCTCCACAGAGCAGCGGGCAGGGCGGCTGACCCCCGACGCCCCTCACGGCCTTTCCTCCGGCCGTGGGTCAGCTTCCTCCCTCTGAAGCTGGCTTGATGAGTAGCTCCTGCTCTAGCCCTTGGTGCTCAGGTCCAAGCTGCGCTAGCCCGGCAGCTGGAACCACCGTTAGGAAAGGAAAACCACAGGTCACCTATTAACCAGATGAAGCCGAGGGGCACGCTCTAGGCCACAGAACCAAGGGCAAAAATGGGAAATTACAGATTTGGGCCAGAAGTGTCCCGATGCCAGCACGTCTCTTTTCACTCTGCAGCTGTGGAAATCGAGGCTGAGAGCGTGTAAGGGATCACCCAGCTAAGACAAAGCTCGGACAGTTCCTCTCCACACACCTTCTGTTTGGCATTCACAGCGATGCCTCCCTAGCAAAAATCATGCCTAGCCCTGGTTGCTTAGAAAAGTAGATCACCGCTAAAAACATCTATTGCTGCGGGCGCGGGTTTGTCCTGGAAACACCACCCCTAGTCAATCTTTTTGATCAGCGCTGGGGGAATCTTATTAGGGGCTCCATGCAAATGGAATCAAGCACTGCTTTGGCTCTGGATTGAAAAATGGCTTGGTCTCCTGGCCACCTTTTAGTGTTTGCACAGGCCACTTAATCATGTCTCTGCTGCTCCGCCCCGGGGAAGGGAGCCAAGTGCTCGGCTACTGGAGTCGTTGGTGGCTATTTCTAATCATAAGGGTTTAACTGCAGCTGTGTGACACACACACACACACACATACACACACAAGGATTTACAAAAATACTTCCTCTTTGAACTTTGCAGGGAAAATTATTTTCCCAATATAGCATTTCAACACCAGGGTTATCAAGTATGTTTTATCTGCTTTTCTGGATTAAAGATATCATGGAGCCTGATTTATAGCTAGGTGAAATGAATTTCTATCTCAGAAGGAAAGGTCCAAAGGCAAGCTATTTCTGAATAATATATACGGCTTATGGCTGGTGCGGAAGGAAAAAAACCCACAGCAGCGAAGTGACTTTATTAAAGCATACTTTTCATAACTGCATTTTGAACAATGCAAACCATAAAGTTGAAATATGAGCACGCTACCCAACATTAAAATGCTTTGTAATGCGCCTGTGAACAGAGCAAAAGTTGCAGGGTAAAAGGGCAGGCGCTCTTTGTAAATTAAAGAGCAGAGATGCGCACATATTCATCATATGAAATCTGAGAACCGTTCAAAGTGCAGCCTAAATGGGCTTCGAACCTAGACTCCTTAATTCTCAAATCATCAGCAATTGTGAGAAGCAGAGTGGAAGAGCAATCTCCTTTCCATGCCATTTCCTCCTCCAGAGAACACATTTGGAGAAGAATTAGACCGGCCCCCTGCCTGCCTCCACCCACAGTCTGGGGCTCACCACTAGAACGCGGTCAGGGTGGAGGTGCTGCCCACCTCTGCAAGGGGGAGACTCGTGAGGAGGGAGCACACTTACAGGCCCCTGGGCTCTGTCTACCCCTCAGCACATCTCCATTTCAGTCCAGCCAGGAACACTGTGCTTAACGTAAAGACTTTGGCAAGGTATAGAACTTCCTTGACTTGACAGCACTGGCAGGGATACAAATCTTACGAACCAAATTCACCCTTGGGTCATGATTCATTCATTCACTGACCCATTTTACCCAGGGATGCTGAGCGCCTCCCTAGCCCTGTGTCTCAGTCCTGCCAGCACGCTCTGGTTGCCGTGACAAACCTCACTCAGAACGAAGCTCCTCCTCTCTCACCCCCACGCTTTGCACTGTTGCCAAGAACAGCGCTGCGGAAAGCGCTGGGGTGTTAGAAGCAGGCAGGCAGGGCTCCTGCCTGGGCTGCACCACTCCCAGCCACACGAGGTCCCAGGTAGTGCCTCCACTTCTCTGGACTGCAGGTGCCCACCCCACAAGATGAAAGGCACCTAGAACCCAGACCAGTGTGCCAGTGTCCATATTCCACTTGAATGCGTAAGGGGTGTCTGAGACTCAAATATGCAAAGCAGGTCCTTAATGCATTCCTCCTGCCCCCAGAAACCCTCATCCAAAACTCGCTCCATCCATGTCCTCCTCATTTCAGCCAAGGGGATCACCACCTTCCCAGCCATTCAGGGCTTCAGCCTAGGAGCCATTGTCACTGCCTCTATCTCCTCCCGCTTCCTGGTCACCCGCAGCCCCTGTGTGCTTTGACCTCCAAAACACATGCTGAACCTGACTTCTTGCTCCAGCCCCACAGGCACCATGTAGCCCAAGGCACCATCATTAGTTGCCTGAACAACACAGCAGCTTCCTAGCTGCTTCTCTGTCCCCCACCAGCTACACCCACCTGCAAATGAATGAGAGCCTCAGAGCAGGACCACCAGGATGAAGCCACTTGACCCCCAGAACTGTGAGAGATAACTGGACACTAACTGTGGCTGTTTCAAGCCACTACGCCTGTGTGTGTGTGTGTGTGTGTGTGTGTGTGATACTCCTTGTTTAGCAGAATTCACGGAGTCTCCCGCAATGCCTTTCACACACCTGGGTCCTCCTCCTGCCTGCCTTCCTTGGCCTCCCCTCTTTCATCTCCTGACCCCAGCTGAAGCAGGACCTCAGAAAGTGATGGATTCCTTGCTGTCAAGGAGTCCAGAGCCCTAGGAGACATCGGGTGCCCAAGAATGCAGAAGAGGTACCATTGACCCTTGACCCTCGCTCTTTGCTCTCTAAATGGCTTTGATAACTGGGGGCAGACCCAAAGGTTTCTGTGACATGTCACTCTGCAATGCTGGTGCCTGGAGCCGCAGAGACAGCTGCCACCCAACCTGCACTGCTGCTCCTTCTCCTCTCCTGAACCAAAACCAGGCCCACAGAGAAAGCAGCTCCCTGGTGCCGGGGGCTGGAGTCTAAGAAAGGGATGGGTCCTGGGCAGGGGGAGGTGTCAGACCCCACAGATCCCTGCAGTGCAGGGAAGGCTGCCCGACCTTGTGCTCTGGGTGGGGCGAAATTACACAAACCCTCTGCTGTTTGCAGGTTAGACTGAGGGGCAACCCCGCCTCACCTACTTCTGCCTGAGCCCCTCGAGACTCATCTTCAGCCACGCCTGCCAGCATGAGGAGTCAGGTGTCCTGTCTCAGTGGTAGAAAGATGGCTTGGAGGCATTTCTGAATAAGGCATCATGGACTTGAACCAGCACAATTTGCTCGGGTCCTGAAGCACTGTGGGCCCTCAGCAGCTGCATAAGCCAGGAACCAGGTGCATCCACGTGTGAAGTTAGCTACTACCGCCACCTGTGTCATGACTGTGAACCAGCAAAGTATCAGCGGCTGCAGAGGCCCTTGGTACAAAGAGGCCAAGCAGTTGCTCATGGGAGTGAAATCCGTGTCGTGGAACATTAAATGGGAAGTTCTAACTGGAGCTCTAAGGGACATCAGATACTTTGGAGAATTACCCTGATCCAACACCTCCTGACTGGAGACGTGCGAATATCACAGTCAGCACTGGTGGGCCCCTCCTCCAGATAAGGGTGTGAGTTGGTGTGAAAGGTGCAGAGGAAGGCTGTTTTTAGAGAGAAGATTTCTTGGCGAGAGCTGACAGTGCGCCTGGCACTCTCCTCTCCTCTCTCCTCTCCTCCCCTCAGAGGGAAAAGAGGGTGGTGGGACGCTTGCCTCCCTACTTAAGCCTAGAGAGATAGACTTTTCGGGCCCATGCTCAGAGCCACACACTAAACAAAGGTTGGATTTTTAGACCTAAAATCACCATAGGACTTTTGACTATTTAAGCATAAGCAGCAAAAGCCTCCAAGTTTCTTTCTAACATTATGCCATGACCTCGGCTTCCTCAGCATACCACTAAAACCTCAAAACCAGCTTCCCAGCAGATCTGGCTGAGGGTCTTTCAGTTGTTCAGAACCGCAGCTGCATCTGTCATCACCAAGACAGGCGAGGCACCGCTGTTATCCCTGTTTAGTGGGTGAGGAAAGAACGTCCGAAAGGTCAAGGATGGGTTCAAGGTCAAAGACAAGTCCTGGTCCAGCTCGGTTATGTGGACTCCTCTGACATGGCTTTCGCATCTGTGTGGTCCTACCCACGGCTTTAGTTCTGGGCTGCGTTCCCCACCACTTGCCCGTGTGTCCATTCAGAATCTAGCGGCCGATGGCAACAGGTGCAACAGCGTTGAGGGTGGGCCCTGATGGATCCGGTCTGAGTCTCCTCTTTCCTCTCCACCACCGCCCCCCTCCCCGACCCAAGAGACTGATGCAAAATGCTGAGAGGAGGGAAAAGAAGCTACTCAGCGTGGGAAGCCTCCTATACGCACCAAAAAATCCCACGTGCCATTCATAATGAAACACCTCGCAGCTCTGCCTGTGTCAGTGGCCGTGTCAAAAGGGTTCATCAAGCTAGAAGGTAATGGCACAGGAAAACCCAGGATTCCTGTGTTTGGAGAGACCTCCCCCACCGTCACGGCCACGTTAGCTGACCTCTGACCCTGCCTGCAGTCATTTCCCTCTTGCTGCCTGCGAGGGAAGTTCCAGCCAGTTGGCTCCATCCACAGAGAAAGTTGCAGCTGGGGAGGGTGATGAACCTGAACTTGTGGGGATGAACCTGGAGTATGGGAGTCACCAGGCCGCGGTGAACTCTGTCTGGGTGCCCACTCAGCTTCCATGGAGAGCCCAGAGCCTGGACACGGCTACGTATGTTCTTTGCAAGCTGGAAGACCCCCCTGTAGTCAACTCAGGACACGCACTGACCGCTGTGTGGCCTGCAGCTCAGTTTAGAAGCCAGCTAAGCAGCGGTTTGAGCTATGTGCCAAAGCCTCATCCACCTTCTGCGGGCCTGATTTTCTCTGGGCTGAAAGATTGGTTGGCCACTCCTTTTCTGCTTCCCCAGGACAGGGCTGGCAAGGGAGCAATGCAGGATCCAGCCAGTTATCAAAGGAGACGGTGGCCACTCCAGGTTGATTTTATTCTGTGTGTGTGCACATGTGTGTATGTGTGTGTGTGTATGTGTGTGTGTGGCGCCTTCCCTCCACTGCATGTGTTCTGTGGGCCTATCCTATGGCCATTCTAGCCCTCATCTCACTTACCGCTATGCCCACTTTGCAGATGAGTCTCAGGCTAAGTCTCAGAAGATCTGGACACCTTGCCCGAGCATGCACAGCTGTAGGCAAGGAGCGGGGATGTGCACGCAGGTCTACTGAGCAGCACAGGGACCAGGTCTAAGGGGCCGGCGACAGTCCCTCCCCTCAGCCTCCCCTTACCCAGGGCCTTCATGTAGCCTTCGAAGTTGTCATTGCTCTCCATCTCCCAGGTGCCATTCTGGTCCCTCGTCATGGTGGCGGCCTCCGGTTCAGGGTGGGTTGTGTGGTGGGCGGCGGGGAAGAGGCTGCAGGCAGAAGGGTTTGGAATGAGCTGCTTTTATAGCCTGGTGGACCAGGTTTATGGCTCTGCAGATAACAGATTAAAGGTCACAAGCACGACTCAAAGGAACTTTCCTTTCCTTTGCAAAGTCCAGCAGGACTGTGGACAACCCAGGCTCAAAGTCCCGGTGTGGCCCGGTGGGGGCGACCCAATGACCTCCGCCATCGGCAGGGCCCAGAGCAGCTCACTTTTTGGCTGGCTGGGTGCCCACCACGTAGCCCCACACAGAACACTGCATCCTGCATGTGAGAAAAGCAATGCTCAGTGTCCACCCTTCATGCACCACCAAGCACCTAGGCCCACGATCTTGGGTCTGTTAGCCACCTAGCTTCTACCCAGGCAGATGGAGCCAAGCAATGTGGAGCAATGTGCAAACACCAGTCTTCTTGCTTCAGCTTACACAAGTTCTATGAACCATCACTGGCCACCCCATTTGGCAGTTGAGAAAGGCTTACGAGAGAGGTTCAGTTCATGTGTAATGATGACTTGTAAGTGGCTGAGCCAGGGTCCAGAGCCAGGCCTGTCTGGCTCCCCAGCCTTCCTCCATAGTGTGCTAGTTCAGCTCAGTCTCTCCCTTGTTTCCCAGGGAGGTGTCCCAGGGGCTTCTGAGAAGCACGGTTCCATGATAAAAGCAAAGGCATGCAAGCCAGCCGGGCCTGGAGGGATCCAGATGGGAGATGGGACCCCAGGAGTAAGCTAAGGAATGCCTGGACCATGGTGGGACATAGTTGGCACCTGGACAAGGACCCTTAGCTCAGGGCTGGTATCCAAGTGGCTGCCCCACTGGACCAGAAAATGGCTTGGTTACTGCCCTGACAGTCCCTTCTCAGATGTGGGGTCTGCGAAGGGACCTTGCCTCTAAAGAATGGAAGTGTGGGGCTGAGATGAATATATCATGCACCCCCAAATTGAGACTAATTTTTTAAAAGATTTATTTATTTATTTGAAAGACAGAGATACAGAGAACAATCTTTTATCGACCGGTTCATTCCACAATGGCCACAACGGCTGGGGCCGGGCCAGGCCAAAGCCAGGGCCTGAAACTTCATCTTGGTCTCCCATATGGATAAACTAGGGAGTTGGATTGGAAGTGGAGAATCCGGGACATGAACCAGCACCCATATGGGATAATGGTATCGCAGGCCGCTGCTTAATCCACTATACCACAACACCGGCCCTGAGACTAATTTTGATGATTATATTTGTGCTGTAAAGTCTAATTAAATGGCTCTGTGTGGGTCGAGGGGTATAAAACAGCACATTCATTTCTCCGTAAACATACTGGAGTCAAAGTGTGAAAAATGGCCCAGCTGTAGACAAAAGGCCAACACTGGACAAAGGGAGTGGGGACTAAGTGCCGACTTCACTGTAAATGGGAACTGAGTGGAGGCAGCAGACGTGGGCAGAGAGTGAGCCCTGGGGAGTCACCCTTTGAGGTCCAGCTGCTCTGGGCTGAGCACGGAGCTTCCTGGGTTGGAGATACAGACTGTGCCTTCAGGCTCGGATTCAAGGGCCTCCACCCAGTCCCTCCTGCCCCTGACTAGGTACCCAGAGGACTCCCCTGCAAGACTGGAAAGAAAGGTGGCCAGGTAGGGTTGGGGTTGTAGACAGGGAAGGACTCCTAATTGTGGAATGGGCATGGAGGAATGAGGCAGGGTCTTAGTGCAAGGCAGGAAGTTGAACTGAGTGAGGGGCTTGCATGAAGTCAGGACACCTGAGAATATGAACTAGTCAAAATCAGCCCAGAGACCACCAGAAAGTTAGTTTGACCTGCATCTAAGTTGTAAGAAGTTTTCGGGGCTGGTGCCATGGAGTAGCGAGTAAAGCTACTGCCTACAGTACTGGCATCTCATATGGGCACCAGTTCCAGTCCCGGCTGCTCCACTTCTGATCCAGCTCTCTGCTATGGCCTGGGAAAGCAGTAGAAGATGGTCCAAGTCCTTGGATCTCTGCACCCGCGTGGGTGACGCGGAAGAAGCTCCTGGCTCCTGGCTTCGGATCGGCACAACTCCAGCTGTTGCAGCCCTCTGGGGAGTGAACCAGTGGTTAGAAGACCGACCTCTCTCTCTGCCTCTCCTCTCTCTGTGTAACTCTGACTTTCAAATAAATAAATACATCTTAAAAAAAGACAATGTCTGTGTAACTCTGACTTTCAAATAAATAAATACATCTTAAAAAAAGACAATGTCCAGAGAGCTATCTAGAAAGTACAGAACACAAAACACACTGTGGTTAAAATTTAGGAAAAAATAACGATAAAAGTCTAACATCATCCAGAAAGAACAAAAATATCTACACAGAATACCTAAAAAGAAACAACATAACGATCAGATTGATATTAGGCTTTTCAATAACTCTTATGGAATGCAACTGGATCAAATTTTATAGTGAGGAGAGAAAGCATTTCAAGCAAGATGTCTAAACCCAGCTGTCATTCACAGCCTAACTGAATCTAAATTAATTTCCACTACAATAGCGCCGCTGTGGAAATGCAGACTTTCATCACCAAGTGGATGGGTACGCATGGTGGTATATTCTACAGAGAAAAGGAACACTTTCCTGATACACACACGATGTAGACGAATCTCCTGGACACTCTGCAGAGGGAAAGAAGATTGACATAGAAGACCACTGACCTTGTGCTTCCGTTTATACGGAACCCTAGAAAGGAATCAACCTAGCCCATATTGATACAAACTACAGCAGAGTCTCAAGGGTTTGGGAAGAGCAGGTGAAAGTGGGCCAGCCAAGGACACAAGGAACATTTTGGGGGAGGGAGGGGGGAATGGAAATGTTCTACAGTTTGACGGGGGTGATGGTTGCTTGGCACCTGTCAAAGCTCAAGTGTGCACTTGAGATCTGTGCCTTTTCATTATATTGTATTAAATTACACCTTAATAACGATGAATAAAGTGCTGATTGTTTATCCGAAAAAGATTTACTAACAGCTCAGACCGAAATCCCCTCGGTTACCCACGCGCGAAGTTCGCTGAGCCCTGGGAAGCCAATGCATGCTAACGAGCCCATCATTACTGATTGAGCTAGATGTTTGTGAGAAGTGCTTCAGCTTAAGCAGTGTCTTTAAAAATTTAACAGGAGCCAGCTGAGGTTCTCCAACTCCAGCGGGCACCGGAATCGTCTGGAGGGCTTATTAGAACTCAGATTGCGGACTCCGCCCCCAGCTCTCTGGTTTAATAGGTTTGGGTGGGGCTACGTTCTCAGGTCATGATGCTGCTGCTGCGGCTCCAAGATAACATCAGCACAGCTGTTGGAGAGTCACAGAAAGAGAAGGGGGAGCCGACAATAGAAGCTTCCGGTTCTGGGATCAGCCACGCCCAGTCTGAATGTAGGAGTCCGTACTTCCCACGGGCAGGACCCTGCTCCCTGGGCCGCGGTGAGTCTCAGGGTCAAGGTAAGAATTGCAGGGCACAATGAGCCCAGGGCTCTGAGCGGAGACCCCCGCACACGGCGAGTGTTTACTCTGAGACAGCAGCTAGTTTATGCGGCTCCCTGCAAGTGTTCGATCTGTCACAGGCCCTCAGAAACACAGCCGCAGCCACGCTCTTCCCGTCTGATCTGCGTGTGCAAGGAACGAGGGCGGTGCTGACAGCAAAAGTGAGGGACCCTGGCTGAGTGCAGCCACAGCCACCCAGCACCTCCCTGGGCCTTCCATTCAAGGAAGACCACCCAGAGGAGCCCCAGTGTGTGTCAAAAGTGCTGACCACCTGTGCCTAACAACACACACCTGGACGTCCCACTAGCTCGGGTGCTGGGGCCATTCCACCTGGGAACAGACTTGGCTGAGTCTCTGTGGCATCCTTCTGCGTCTTTAGTAAGCCTGGGGAAAATGATCTGTCACAACCAAGTCTTCCCAGGTTGCCAAGCGGCTTTCCTGGAAACCAGAAGGAGGTGCCCAGGTGGGTCTTCCGGGAAGCCCGGGACTGAGGGCAGTCAGTGAGCCAGGAGTCAGCACGGGTCAGCTCCCGGGGTGCTGCAGTCCGCAGGACGGCTGGCTCTCCCTGGCCCAGCTCCTTCCTGCTTCCTCCTTCCTCTGCAGGGGAGACATTCTCTCAGCAGCCAAGCCACCTGGTACTGCCTTCCCACCGGGTCCCCTTCCTTCTGCTCCCCGAGGAGAACGCTCCAGCGACTTGCACTTCTGGCAGCGCCGCGTGTGCTCAGTTGCGGGAAGCAGACCTCCAGATCTGCTTCACCTGGAGGCCTTGGAGGAAGGGGCCTGGGGCTGGGCCAACTGCAGACCCTCATCCTTCCCAGGAGGACCCCAGGGAGCACATTGCCCTGGCCCAGCAAGGGGCCCTTGGCAAGTCCCTTGTCCTCTTCACGCCCCCACCCTCTACCAGCTGCTGGTAGGATCCAGCCAAACCACCTCTTCCCAAGGGGGCTGGGCCTCCCTCTCCAAGGACCCTTGGAATGCCCTTGGTGATCCCACCTAGTGGTAGCTGTAGTTTGCTGACCATGCCTTCCAGATTCCAGGAACGTCTGACATTTTCCAGGTTAGGCAAGGCCTGTGACTAAGTGCAGTCTCTCCCCTGGAGGGGAGGGACCACCTCTGTTTTGCTTGCCCTGTGTATCCCCAGGACGTGTGAACGGTAGGAGAGGAATACCCAAGGCTTGCAGAGTGGAGCCCTCCTGTGTTAAGGGTGCAGGGCTGCAGGGGGGTGGTCTGTCTTTATACCCTGGGGATGGAAAAGTACAAGGACTCTGAGGGCCAGCGACACTGTGGGCCACCAGCAATTCTTTTCAATACTTCAAATGTAATAAAAGCATGGGTGAATTGATCAATAGAATATCGGTCCATATAGTCTCCCACCATTCATCACAAGCAATTGGATGTGCTAAAATCAATAAAGTTGTGCCTGTTCAAAAACTTTTATTAAATAGTGTTTTGTTTCCAG